GCTCTCTGGTTTCCTGCAGGTTTGGCCTCAGCAGCAACGGTGAGTCACTTCCTGCAGGAACAGCTTCAACTGAGTCGCTTCCTGCAGGAACAGCTTCAACTGAGTCGCTTCCTGCAGGAACAGCTTCAACTGAGTCGCTTCCTGCAGGAACAGCTTCAACTGAGTCGCTTCCTGCAGGATCAGGTTCAATTGAGACGCTTCCTGCAGGAACAGCTTCAACTGAGTCGCTTCCTGCAGGAACAGCTTCAACTGAGCCGCTTCCTGCAGGAACAGCTTCAACTGAGTCGCTTCCTGCAGGAACAGCTTCAACTGAGTCGCTTCCTGCAGGATCAGGTTCAATTGAGACGCTTCCTGCAGGAACAGCTTCAACTGAGCCGCTTCCTGCAGGAACAGCTTCAACTGAGTCGCTTCCTGCAGGAACAGGTTCAACTGAGCCGCTTCCTGCAGGAACAGGGTCAACTGAGCCGCTTCCTGCAGGAACAGGTTCAATTGAGACGCTTCCTGCAGGAACAGGGTCAACTGAGCCTCTTCCTGCAGGAACAGGTTCAACTGAGCCGCTTCCTGCAGGAACAGCTTCAACTGAGCCGCTTCCTGCAGGAACAGCTTCAACTGAGCCGCTTCCTGCAGGAACAGGGTCAACTGAGCCGCTTCCTGCAGGAACAGGTTCAATTGAGACGCTTCCTGCAGGAACAGGGTCAACTGAGCCGCTTCCTGCAGGAACAGGTTCAACTGAGTCGCTTCCTGCAGGAACAGGTTCAACTGAGTCGCTTCCTGCAGGAACAGGTTCAACTGAGTCGCTTCCTGCAGGAACAGCTTCAACTGAGTCGCTTCCTGCAGGAACAGGTTCAACTGAGCCGCTTCCTGCAGGAACAGCTTCAACTGAGACGCTTCCTGCAGGAACAGCTTCAACTGAGTCGCTTCCTGCAGGAACAGCTTCAACTGAGTCGCTTCCTGCAGGAACAGCTTCAACTGAGTCGCTTCCTGCAGGAACAGGTTCAACTGGGCCGCTTCCTGCAGGAACAGGTTCAACTGAGTCGCTTCCTGCAGGAACAGGTTCAACTGAGTCGCTTCCTGCAGGAACAGCTTCAACTGAGTCGCTTCCTGCAGGAACAGCTTCAACTGAGTCGCTTCCTGCAGGAACAGCTTCAACTGAGTCGCTTCCTGCAGGAACAGCTTCAACTGAGTCGCTTCCTGCAGGAACAGCTTCAACTGAGTCGCTTCCTGCCGGAACAGGTTCAACTGAGTCGCTTCCTGCCGGAACAGGTTCAACTGAGTCGCTTCCTGCAGGAACAGGTTCAACTGAGTCGCTTCCTGCAGGAACAGCTTCAACTGAGTCGCTTCCTGCAGGAACAGGTTCAACTGAGTCGCTTCCTGCAGGAACAGCTTCAACTGAGACGCTTCCTGCAGGAACAGCTTCAACTGAGTCGCTTCCTGCAGGAACAGGTTCAATTGAGTCGCTTCCTGCAGGAACAGCTTCAACTGAGTCGCTTCCTGCAGGAACAGCTTCAACTGAGTCGCTTCCTGCAGGAACAGCTTCAACTGAGCCGCTTCCTGCAGGAACAGCTTCAACTGAGTCGCTTCCTGCAGGAACAGCTTCAACTGAGCCGCTTCCTGCAGGAACAGCTTCAACTGAGTCGCTTCCTGCAGGAACAGCTTCAACTGAGTCGCTTCCTGCAGGAACAGGTTCAACTGACTCGCTTCCTGCAGGAACAGGTTCAACTGAGCCGCTTCCTGCAGGAACAGCTTCAACTGAGTCGCTTCCTGCAGGAACAGCTTCAACTGAGTCGCTTCCTGCAGGAACAGGTTCAACTGAGCCGCTTCCTGCAGGAACAGCTTCAACTGAGTCGCTTCCTGCAGGAACAGCTTCAACTGAGTCGCTTCCTGCAGGAACAGGTTCAACTGAGTCGCTTCCTGCAGGAACAGCTTCAACTGAGTCGCTTCCTGCAGGAACAGCTTCAACTGAGTCGCTTCCTGCAGGAACAGCTTCAACTGAGCCGCTTCCTGCAGGAACAGCTTCAACTGAGCCGCTTCCTGCAGGAACAGCTTCAACTGAGTCGCTTCCTGCAGGAACAGCTTCAACTGAGTCGCTTCCTGCAGGAACAGCTTCAACTGAAGCAGCTTCACCACGTTTCTCAGAGCATCAGATCTGCCACTGATGGATGAAACGTGTTGTTCTTTATAAAAGCTGCTTTAGTTTAGCCAGCAGAGCTTTTTATGCTCATGTTGGTGTTTTTATTATTGAAAGCCAACAGCTGGACCGGATAAATAATGAAGCAGCAGCTGCAACATACAGGGCTGCATCGGGGTTGGGTCCCGCCGGGTCCCGCGGAACCCAACACAAATCTAGTGGGGTGGGCGGTGTGAATTTAGCTGCGGGCGGGAACGGTCGGCTAAAAGAAACAGTGCGGGATCGGGATGAGTGTGATGGAGTCGGCAACTGAAACAAGATCTTTATGACACAAACACCAAAGCAAGGCAAGTCAGACATCTGGAGGAGTTTCTATGTTTGTGTTAATATTTCTCATTCAGGTCTCTCTCAGCAAAGCTCGATCACCGCCTGATTACAGAGAAGAGAATATTAAACGGTCTTGATTTCATTAACCCTTTAAGCACCACACAGTAGCTCCTTTGTTTTTTTTTTAAGAATTTTAAAGAAGGAGGAGTTATTTGAAATCACATGCGCCTCGGCGTCGCCGATGATCCTGGTGACGCCTCGGCGTTAAAGGGTTAAAAACTAAATCCTGACCAATGTGTTAGAAGACGTGCAGGATCCGATCTATTTGTTTTTGCCTCATTTTCCCATAGCTGAAGACGTGGAGAGGGGCTTGGAGCACGTCGCAGAACCAGAGCGCATGCAGGAAGATTCCTCCGACTGAAGAAGAAGAAAATATCGTTTCTATAGCGCCTCTCAAGATAAAAATCACGAGGCGCTTCACAAAAACAAAAAATGTTAAAATATAAAAAAGCATTTAGAAAATGTTTAAAAATATATTTTAAATGAGCAAAAATAGGATATTGTGATTTAAAAGAAAAAATGTTAAGAAAGAGAGAGAGAACAGGAAAGAGGGAAACCAGTGGATCCTGAGGAAGGTGGAATAGGTGGGGAGAGCAGAATAAAGAGAGAGAGGTGAAGAAGGTCATACAAAAGCCAGCTTGAACAAGTGAGTCTTCAGCTGCTTTTTAAAGGAGACCACTGAGTCCACTGATCTCAGGCTCAGGGGGAGAGAGTTCCAGAGTCTGGGGGCCACAGCAGCAGATGATCTGTCACCTTTGACCTTTAGCCTGGTGCTGCACAACCAGTAGGCTTTGGTCACTGGACCTCAGGGACCTGCTGGGGGTGTAGGGACTAAGAAGTTCACCAATGTAAGATGGTGCTTGTCCATGTAAGGCCCTATAGACCAGAACCAGGATCTTGAAATGAACCCTGAAGTTGACTGGCAGCCAGTGAAGCTGGAGGAGAAGCGGGGTGATGTGGGTGTGTTTGGAGGACTTGGTCAGAAGCCGAGCACAGGCGTTCTGAACCACCTGTAGACGGTTCAGGGAGGTTCTGCTCAGACACGTGAAAAGAGAGTTACAGTAGTCTAAGCGTGAAAAGAGAGTTGTGTTATTTTACAAGCACAGAGAGCCGCATCAGATGGATGGAAGAGCCGCATGCGGCCCCAGAGCCGTGGGTTGCCGACCCCTGATAGCCTATAAAATGGCGTTTTCTCCAGGACCAGAGAGGACTCAAACTCAGCACATCTCTTTTATAGTGAGGTCATCATTTCACCGAGTTGTGCGGGTGCGGGCGGGAGTAGACATGCACGCTGCGGGAGTGGGATGAAGAAAGCAGTCCCGCACAAACATTCCTGATTCACTCCTTTCATTTGACTGGTTTTGTTTACGTTTCTGGGTTCTTGGAGAACTTTCGGCTGCAGAACTTGGATAAATTATTTGAATAAATAAAAATAAAAAAGATCTGAACTGAAGCGTTCTTACCGGGTAGAACTTCTCGGTGATCCGAGCCGGATGCAGGCTCTCCTCCAGGTTCGGGCCAGTGGTACCGGAGAATCACGGGCTCGGAGGGTCGCTGCTCCGGTGCTGCGTGCTTCCGGGCGGCTGCCAGCCTCCTCCGGAGCGCCGTGACTCGGTTCCGCTGGCTGATGCGCTGACACCCCCGCCAGGCGCACGAGAGGAACCGGCAGGCCCCGTGACCCCTCCTGGGGGAGATGATACCGTGAAGGCGGCAGCGAGCGCACGTGGGCTGCCGTGGGTCTGGAGCAGGACCGGGCATGTTGTAGAGGTTCAAGTGGGACTGTGGGGTTCAGAGACCCCATCGTGCCCCCCCCGGGGATCCCCCCCCCCTCCCCCCGGGGGATTTCCCCATCTGCAGGTGGCTGACCTGAGCTGCACCCCCGAGACCCCACGTGGGAACGTCCTTGATCCTGATTGGCTGGACCTGAAGCGCGGGAAGATGAGATCCAGCTGATTTTCTGATCCTTCAAGTTTGTTTGAGCTTTTAAAACCACAATAAAGATGTTTGATATTTTCCAGTAAAACCGAATTTCATGATTTGTGTCTGAATAAAAGATGTTTCAGTGACGCGAAGATTTTTCTCTGTTGGAATCAACAATCAGTAGTTACATTAATGATTAGGATTTTATTTTATTCAGTCGTTCACATAGACGTCTTCCTGAACAGCCTGTGTTCAGAGAAATAGTTGACATCTTTGGGACTGATAAGCTAACGGCTAGTCTGAGAGAAGACCTTTATCAGCACTAATCTTCTAAACTTCCCAGCAGGTTCTGAGTGTCCTTTATGGACCTTTACAGCACCAGAGTCATGTGACACATCAGCAGAAACATGAAGGACTTCCTGTCAGAGCGGAGGAACATTACATCTCGCTGCTCCTGGAGACATTTACACATCAGACTTTCTTATCGACGTGTCCTCGTCTTTTCCCGTTTGATGTTCCACGAACATTCCTTGGAAATGTTTTAATGAAACAAAAAACAAAAAAGTAGTTTTTTTTTGTTTTTAATTTCTGTGTTTATTTACATATGTTGGTGTTACAATAAACGTCCTCGTCTCCATTTTATTATAAATACACCAGGCTTGATTCTCACTAAAATACACCCTTCAAAGCGCTTCGAACACAAAAATAAGCAAAGCTTTAGAGGATACAGGTATTTAAATGTTTGCATCTTTTAATTAGTAAAGCAAGCAAAGCAAAAATAGAGTATGAAAATAAAACGCTGTCGGTCAAACCTGCGACTGAAGCAAACAGGTGTGGAGTAAAATACAAATACTGGACGTGGTGCAAAGCTGAAAGATCTTTCTCACTCCGGTTGAGGCTTTCGCCAACAGAGAAACCTTCGTGATTCGGTGGAAGACAACATGATGCACCCGTTCACGCCATCATTTAGAGTCTTGTGGCTTTGGAGCCGTTATTTTATTTTATATTCTGAACTTGACGTTCACCTGGTGAGACAAACATTAGGAGTAATATTGCTTATTTTCACTCATGCAGCAGTTTGCATAGTCAGTTCTGCGGTGTCTCCCAGTCCTCCCAGTAAGAGTACTGTGTCCTGCAGGCACTTGCACAGCATGAGCTTGGATGTTAAAACGCACCAAAACTAACCAGGCAGCGTTGTTGCATAAAATCAGTGATTAAATGATACTCAGTCCAGATGAAAGCCAGTGTCTGGAGACGTCCCCGTCAGGATGCGGAGACAACAGGAAGACGCGAGTTGGGATCTGGAGGAAACAGGAAGTTGGAGGAAACTTTCTGAAAGTGAAACACAAAAACATTAGATCACAATAATTCAGCAGACGACTAAATGATGTTTTCCTTTGTGCACCTTTCAAAGTGACCAGAAGAGCAGAGATCCAGCGTGCCGAGCTGTCGGATGGCTTCAGTCATCTCCAGATTCCTGTCCCTTAAACTTCCTGTTTATTTCCCAAGGCGCACGTTTGGGTCTGACTGCGGGATTCCTGCTGGGTTCACTGAGGATGATGGACTTTTTCTGTGTTTGTAGAGTAGTTGCAGCAATGCCACCAGGAGAAAAAAGATCTTGAAGCTTTGCGTTCTTAAAGCAGGTTCTTGATTTTCTTTGTTTGAGTCCAAATTCTGCTCTGCAGAGACGCTACGCTTTCCTCAATTTCAGAAATATACACAAAAGTTTCAGTTTGTACATCCAGCTGGTTTTCATCTGTCTGACTCAGAACAGTAGCTAAATAAGTGTGTGTTAGTGGAACACTAAAAGCTCATATTGGTGTTCAATCAAAACGCACGTGGAAGCGCTCGGGTTACACGCAGAGAAAACAGTTTACGGTACGCAGCCATGCGTCTGACAGGTCAGCGCACACGGGCCTTAACCAGTAAAATATACAATCAACAACATGAGTAACTGTGTAGAAAATCTAAAGGTGTAAGTATTGTAACATCGCCATGCAGAGCAGAATAAAGGTCCTCCTTTCTCCACAAAGATCCAGGCGTCAGGTGATCAGCCTTCAGAAGCGCCGGCTGTAGCTCGGAGAACTGAAACCTGGAGAACCAAAGCTGGTTGAGCTGTAGGACGAAGATGAAAAGGTCGTCGTGAGACTTGACCCTGTGGCATCGAAGCTGCCTCTTCTGGAGCCGGACCTGGAACCAGTTCTCGACCCGGAGCGTGACCCAGTAGCAGAGCCTGAACCGCTGACGCTGTAGGGACTGTAAAGGCCTTTGCTGGACTGAGATGAGGCTTCAAGGAGTCTCAGACCAGTTCCCTCCTCAGTCATGCTTCTTTCCATTGCATCCTTGTAGGAGATCTTAAGCTTGGTTTTAGGGCACGTGAGGTATTTTGAGTATGCGCTAACGTCCCGTAACTTCTGCGCTGTGCGGGCATCTAAGGTGCCCTTCTTCAAAGCCTCATCTATGGAGACTCTACCAGTGGCATCAGGTTCAATCAGCCCACCGGTGAGGTACTGGACCTCGAGGAACCGCTGTCCGGCTTCATAGTAAAGCCACCCTTTCTTCAGAGCTTGGGCTGCAGACATTTTGGTTTTAGTTCTGGGATCTTCAAAGCCATTGTATGCCTTCTGGGCTAAACTGATGCGATCCACCATGATTTTATCAACGAGTCCTTTATTCAGCGCGTCGGCAACAGAAAACTTCTCTCCTGTGTTGGGGTCGATGATGCCTCCAGTGCAGGCCTGAGCCTCCAGCAGCCTTTGACCGGTTATATTATCCACCAGGTTTCGGTGAATGGCTTCTGTGACTGAAACCTTCTCCAGGGTCTCTGTGTCCAAAATCCCCGCCACAGGTCCAGTTTCCTCTGTCGGGTCATTCCAGGTTGTTGCTGGTGTTTTTATAGTAGGCACTGGACTCATGGTGTAGGAGGAAGTGGACCCAAAGGACGAAGAACGGGATCTGCTGCCACTCATGTTTCCAGATAGCATGTCTGCAAATTCGGTGATGGACAGCGTTCCAGCTCGGTACTGATCCAGAGCCGACTTATCAATCAGGCCTCTCGAGATGGCATCATCAATATCGTACTGCCGGCCAGACCTCCGGTCAGTGATCATAGACTTCACGACGCCATCAGATGAGGTGATGGTGATTTCCTCCCATTCACATTCCTGCTCTGCGAGTTCCAGATAGGTCTGGTGGTCAATCAGACCCTTCTGATACGCTTCGTAAACGGACATCTCTTTGCCCGACTCTGGATCGACGATGACAACCCTTCGTTTGCGAACTGAAGACTTGGACGATGTCTTCCTCTCTCGTTTCTTTTCTTTTAGCAGCAGAAGACGAAGGCCGGTCTCTGGGTCTGTCAAGCATCGCTCCATCAGCTGCAGGTAGGTGAGATTTTCCTCTGTGTTTGGGTCAAAGAAACCTTTCGTGTCATCTGAGGGGTCGGTGAGGATCTCATTCATTTCTTCGTCAAAGAGGCCACGTTCATAAGCAGTTTCTACAGGCAAACGGTGGCTTTCCTCCGGATCTATTATGCCTCCTGTGGCAATTTGAGCCTCCAGCAGACGGATGCCATGGTCTTTTAAAATGAGTCCCTTTTTCATTGCCTGGAAAAGAGAGATGATCTTGCCAGAATAGGGGTCCTTGTAGCCTGTGACCGCTCGTTCGGCTGAGAGGAGTTTGTCTTTAAATTCGGGGCCAACGACACCCATCTTAACTGCTTCGATCACATTCAGTTTCAAATTTTTGATGGGATCGATCACGTAGCCTGTAGCAGCCTGAGCCTCAAGAAGCTCAAACGCAGTTCCTGGCCTGATCATGTTCTTCTTCATTGCTTGGTAGATGGACAGGCAGTCTTTGGAAGATTCAACATACACACCAGCAATACTGCTAGTACCCTCAAGATACTTCTTCAGGTTTCTGCTGATCTCCTCTACCGTGACGACACCCTCAATGAGCTCATTGTAGGTTTTTTGGTTGATGATCTGTGACCGGAGCAGTTCTTCCACAGTGATTTGTTTTCTGAGACCCTTAAAGAGAAGCCTTCTGTCTGCGAGGGAAAGCAACTTCAGTCCACTTTCTTTATCAACCCTGCATCTTTTCAGCAGCTGAGCATAAGACTGCTTCTCATCAGTGGTTGGATCAACATACCCTCGCACATCTAAAGTCGGCTCAGTTATTCTGTCCAGCGTCTCCTTGTTGATATATCCCCGTTGCATTGCAGCATCTGTCGGAAGATGGAAGTAGTATTCAGGGTCCATCAGTCCTCCGGTGGCATTCTGGGCCTCCAAAAGTCGGAGGGCATAATCCTCAGGAATCAGGCCTTTTTTCATGGCCTGGAAGAGAGAAATGACTTTTCCGCTGTAGGGATCCTTGTAACCAGTCACTGCCCGCTCAGCCGAGAGAAGCTTGTCATGGAGTTCAGGGCCAACAAGACCTTTACGTACAGCTTCGTCAACAGTGAGGAGCTCATCTTTAACGGGATCGATCATGAATCCTGTTGCTGCCTGGGCCTCAAGGAGTTGCAAAGCCACTTCGGGTTTAATCTGTCCGTTCTTCATTGCCTGGTAAACGCTGATCCTCGGAGGACTGTCTGACATAATTCCAGCAATGCAACCAGTGCCAAACAAGTACTGTTTCACTGATGGAGCATCCATCACCTCTCGAATACTCATCTTCTCTTGTTTCAGTAGGTTGTAGGTCTTAGAGTCAATGATCCGAGCACTGTACAGCTCCTCGATGGTTGTTCTTCGCCTGATCACGTCACACGACAGGGTCTGCTCAGACTTCACAGTCTCTCTTTGTTCAATGATCTCGATGATGATGATCAGCATCCGCTCTTTAGTAATTTGGCCCAAGCGATACTGCTCCATGAGGCGACGCCGCTCTTCCTCTGGAAGCATGTTTGAGTTCAACACTTCCCAAATAGTCATACTTTTCCCTGCAAAGCTCTTATGCGGTATCTCAATCTGAGTGTTGCCCAGGTCCTTTTGTGCTTGCTCCTCTGTGAACTCATAGGCCTTCTCAGCTGGTGCTGGGGCTTCTACCTTCGACAGTGGTAGGTAGCACAGACCAGAGGTGGGGTCTCTCTTGCATGTCTCCAGCAGCTGACGGTACGTTGCACTTTTGTTAGTATTGGGATCAATGAAGCCTTTAACGTCACCAGTCGCTTCCCTGAAAGACTTTAACATGTCTTTGCTGATGAAGCCACGCTGAATGGCCACATCATTGGGAACACGGTGGCTGCTGACTGGGTCGATCATACCTCCCGTGGCCAACTGAGCCTCTAACAGAGGAATGGCATGCTCCCTCAACACAAGCTCTTTCTTCATAGCTTGGAATAGAGAAATCTTGTTGCCCGTGTACGGATCTTTGTATCCTGTCACCGCTTTTTCAGCTGACAGAAGCTTCTCGTGAAGTTCTGGGCCAACAACTCCAGCCTTTACAGCATCATCCACAGAGTATTTCAGGTATTTAACCGGGTCAGGTATAGATCCGGTACCAGCTTGGGCCTCAAGAAGAGCCAGTCCAGTGTTGTGCTGCAGAACGTGTTTTCTCATTGCCTGATAAAGGCTTAACTTCTCATCAGAGTCTTGCAGAGTGACACCATCAATGCGGTCTGTGCCTTGCAGGTACTTCTTGACTTTATCAGTACCGGCGACTTCTTTGGGCGTCTTTTTACCCTGCTGAAGTTGATCAAATGTGGTCTTGTCCAGGATGTTGGAATCAAGCAGCGAGCTGGCAGTGACTGGTGCTCTGAGTCCTTCAAAGCAAGCCTCTTCCTTTGTTTTGTCTTCTTTTTCATCCACCATTGTTATCACAATCTTTACTAACTTCTCAATAGTAACCAGTCCCATTCGATACTGACGAACCAGCTGGACTCTTTGTTCCTCTGTGATGTATTCAGAGTTCATGATCTCCCAGATTGTGACCTTTCTGCCTCTGAACGGTCCGGACTCCAGCTCCATGGCGGTTTGGTTCAGGGCTTCTTTTGTTTTGGCCTCTGTGATCTGTCCAGCCTCCTTTGGCTTCGGGGCCTTCGGTGAGACAGGAAGCATCAGGAGCTGGGTGTCTTCATCTGTGACACATTGTTTTATGAGCTGTGCATACGTGGCCTCCTCCTGCGAGTTAGGATCATAAAACACTTTAGTCTCATCTGTGTTTTGGTTCAAGGTTTTGCTCATGTTGTCATCAAAATACCCACGCTTGCAGGCAACCTCGTGTGGGATTCGGTAGCTTTTAATCGGATCAATAATTCCACCGGTTGAAAGCTGTGCCTCTAGCAGACGCATGCCCTGGTCTTTCTTCACAAGGCCTTTGTTCATGGCTTCGTAAACGGACACGGTCTTCCCTGTGTAGGGATCTTTGTAGCCGCTGACGGCCCTTTCCGCTGACTGGAGGCGTTCGTGCAGCTCTGGACCGACGAGGCCAGCTTTCACAGCTTCATCAACGGGCATCCTCTCGTTTTTCACAGGATCGATGAGAAACCCTGTCGCCGCTTGAGCTTCAAGGAACGTCGCAGCCGTCTCTGGAGAGATCAGCTCTCTTTTCATGGCTTGATAGAAAGGCATCTTCTCCTTGCTTGGTTCATGCAACAGTCCTGCGATGCTGGGAGTTCCTTGCAGAGCTTTCTTCACCGGATCCATCTCAGAAACCTCCGTCACGGAAATCTTCCCATTGCTTAGTTTGTTGAACAAATCTTTGTTTATAACTTTAGACTCGAGCAGCTCGCTGGCGGAAACTGGAGTCCTCAAACCGCCGAACACACTCCCACTGCCCTTCTCCTTGTCTTCCACTACAGTAATGACGATTTTGATGATCTTCTCCACCGTGATCTTTCCTGTTTTGTACTGGCGGATCAGTTCTCGTCGTTGCTCTTCGGTGAAATACTCTGAGTTGATGACCTCCCAGATGGTGACAGTTTTTCCTTTGAACTTCCCAAACGGAACGTGGACGTTTGATCTACTGAACACTTCTTTGGTCTCCATGTCGGTGAATGTTCTTTCACCCTGGGCAGCTTTGTCTGTCACTGGTAAAATCAGCAGGCCAGTCTCCGGATCTTTGCTGCATCTCTCCAGTAACTGTCTGTAGGTGAGCTGCTCCTGGGTGCTGGGGTCCATGAACAGTTTAAGGTCCTCGCTGGGATCTGTCAGTTGTTTGTTAGTGTCTGCATCAAACTGACCCTGCTTGTAGGCGGTCTGGAGTGGCACCCTGTGGCTACTGATCGGGTCAACAATGCCGCCAGTCGCTAGCTGCACATCTAGGAACTTGGTGGCCTGCTCTTTGTCGATAAGACCCTTCTTCATGGCTTCAAAAAGGGAGATCTTGGCTCCCGTGTACGGATCTTTGAAACCAGTGGCTGCTCGTTCAGCAGACAGAATCCTGTCATGAAGCTCAGGGCCAATCAACCCTTCCTTGACTGCCTCGTCCACGGAGAGAAGCTGATTTTTCACGGGATCAACGAGGAAGCCCGAGGCTGCCTGAGCCTCCAGCAGCATGGCTGCAGAGGTGGGAGTAATCTGGTGCTCCGTCATGGCCCGGTAGATGCTCATCTTCTCTTTGGATGGAGTCAAGATTCCCCCGACACCGCTCTGACCCTTGAGACAGGATCTAACTTTGTCCGTCTTCTCCAGGTCTTGGACAGAGACCTTTCCCTTCTTTAGCTTGTCCATGTCTTTTCTGGTCAGGACTCCGATGTCGTGAAGCCTCTCTGCAGGAACCTTCTCTCTGATTCCATCGAACAGCCACAGCGATCCTCCATCTTTCTTCACCCCGTCCACTTCGACCGAACCATCAAATGCTTTCTTTGTTGTTCCCACCGTTGTCACGGTAACCGTCTGCTGCTCAGGAGCCTTTTCGGTCTGAACTTCCATCTCTTTCGTTTTGGAGGCTCCTTCCTTTGAAGCACCTTCCAGAGTCTGCAGCTTTTCTCTGAGCTTTTTGTTTTCCTCCTCCAGAAGTTTTTCCTGCTCCAGTTTCTTCTTCTCCAGTCCATCCACCTCCTTCTGCTTGCTCTTCACCTCTGCTTCAGCCTCCTTCTGTTTCCTCAGAGCCTCCTCCATCACAGCCTGAAGCTTCTTCCTCTCCTCCTCCATCCGTGCGTGCTGACGCTCCTGCTCATCTTTGAGAGCTTTGGCCTTCTTCACTTCCTCCTCCAACTGCTTCTCCAGCTTCTTCTTCTCGTCTTCAACAGCCTTTTCTTTTTTCAGCAACAGCTCCTTCTCAGTGGAGAAGGACTGCTGCAGCAGGGCCTTCTGCTGCTCCATCTGCTCCAGCTGAGCACTTTCCATCTGTTAAGAAGAAGAAGAGAAAACGTCAGCGAGGCTCACAGACGAGCGTCGTCTGAGTGAAAGAAACACATTTCATCGACGTTCCTCCACCGGTTCCCTCGGTGGTCGGTCAGGTTAACGGGTTAGTTAACGTTACCTTGTTGGTTTGTTTCTGGAGCTCGTCTGCTTCTCGCTTCAGCCTCTCTCGCTCCTTCTCCACGTCGGCGATGGCTCTCCTCAGGTCGTCGGCTTCCTTGGTGCTCTGCAGCCTCTGAGTCTCCAGCTTCTGAACGACGCTCTCCGCCACTTGCTTCTCCGTTTCTTGAAGACGAGCTTTAGCTTCGTCGGCTTGTTTCTTGAACTTCTGGGCCTCCTCTTCAGCTTTAGTTTGGGCCCCGCTGAGGTCTTTCACCCTGAGCTTCAGCTTCTCGGCCTCGGCGGACACTTCCAGCTGTCTCCTACGCTCCGCCTCCAGGGATTTTTGGAAGTCTTCTGTCTCCTTTTTGAGTCGCTGCTGGATCAGCAGTTTGTCCTCCTGAAGTTTCTCAGCTTTCTCCTGAGCTTGGTCCTTCAGCTTCTGGAGCTCCTCTGCTTCAGCCTTCAGTTTGGAAGCATCCTGGATGGCCTGCATCTTCTCCTTCATGGTTTTCTCCGCCAGCTCTCGCTGTCTGGCCAGCTCGGACTCTGCCGTCTGCCGCTGTCTGGCAGCATCTTCAGCCGCCAGTGTGAGTCGAGCAGCTTCTTCTGCCAACTTCTTGAGTTTCTCCGCCTCGTCTGACAGTAACTTCTGGGTGTTGTCTTTGTCCTTCTGCGCGAGGGTTCGGTTCTCTTCCTCCATCTTCAGCTTGATCTGGAGGAGCTGGTCCATCTGGGCCTTGACTTTGCTCAGTTCTTCCTCCACCAGCGCCTTCTGTCTGGCAGCGTGGTTAACTTCACCTTTGACCCTCTGAAGCTCTCCATCCAGCACCTTTTTCTGCTTGTCGGTTTCCTCCAGCTGGAGTTTGATGGCTGAGAGCTCCTTCTCCACCTGAGACTTCTGCTTCAGAGCTTCTTCTGCCTCCTTCTTGTGCTTGGCCGTGTCGGCATCGGCCTGCTGCTTCTGCCTCAGCGCCGCCGCCTCTGCTGCAGCTCGCCGCGCCGCTTCTTCTTCTGCCTCTTTCCTCAGTCTTTCTGCATCCTTCTGCGCTCTGGCCTGTTTGGCAGCTTCTTCTTCTGCAGCTTTCTTCTGCCTCTCAGCCTCTTCGGCTTTCTGCCGGAGGGACGCAGCCTCCTTCTCTGCCTTCTCTTTGGCCTTTTCAGCACACTCGGCCAGCTTCTTGGCGTTTTGAAACTCCTCTCTCAGTTTCTCCTGAGCCAGAGCGTCCTGGTTGTTCTTGCTGAGAACATCTTGAGCTTTCAGCTCAGCAGCGCTGCATTTCTGCACCGCCTCCTGGGCCAGCATCACCTGCTTCTCCACCTCCTTCTCCGCCTGGTCTCTCTGCTTCTTGGCTTCAGCTGCTTTGGCTTTGAGCCGATCCACTTCCTCCTGAGCAGCTTTGCGTTGCTGAGCTGCATCCTGCTCCGCTGCGGCGATCTCCTTCACCTTCTCTTCAGCTTCTTGTCTCTTCTTCTCCGCTTCTGCTGTGAGTGTTTTAAACTTCTCTGCTTCCTCTTCAGCCTTGAGCTTGCTCTTCTGCGTCTCGTCTGCGAGGCTCTTCAGCTTCTTCAACTCCAACTCCAAATCGGACTTCTCCTTGGAGGCTTTGTTGAAGTTGATCCTGATGATGTGGATCTCCTCCTCCACCACCTTCTTCTGCCTCAGGGTTTCCTCCACGAGGCTTTTTTGCCTCTGGAGCTCAGAGTCGGACGAGCTCGTCAGCTGGGTGATCTTCTCGCTGATCTCCTGTTTGTGCTGAGCAGCCTGGTCCTCCAGAAGCTTCCTCTGATAAGCCTCCTCCTCCGCTTTCCTCTTCAGCCTCTCGTTCTCTGCCTCCTTTGCTTTCAGGGCGATCTCCGCCTCCGTTTTCAGGCGCGTCGCCTCGTTGATGGCGGCTAGTTTCTCCTTGAGGACCTTTTCGGCCTCAGCTCGCTGCAGCGCCGCCTCTTCTTCTGCCACCTGCCTCTGTTTCTTGGCGTCCTCGGCGACAGCTCTCAGTCTGGCGGCTTCCTCGGCGAGCTGCTTCATCTTCAGAGCTTCTGCCTCCAGGAGCTGCTCGCTGCTTTCGGTTTTCGACCGCATCTCCTTCTCCGCTCGAACCTTCATCTGCAGAAGAGCGTCCATCTCACTCCTGACTCTGGCCAGCTCGTCCTCCAGCTGTTTCCTCTGGTTCTCGGTGGAGCTCACGTTGTCTTTTAGGCGATTGAGGTCGCTCTCCAGCAGGCTCCTCTGCTGTCCGGCGTGCTCGAACTCGGCCTTCAGGCGGACACATTCTTGCTCAGCAAACAGTTTTTGTTGAGCGATCTGCTCGGCGAGCTGCCTCTGCTTCTCCAGCTCCTTCTCCGCGTTCTCTTTCTGCTTCAGGGCAGCGTCCTCCGCTTTAGCCCTCCTCTTGGCGTCTCGCTCTGCTTCCACCTTCTGGCGCTCGGCTTCGTCCTGGGCCTGACTCTTCCTCTGGGCCTCCTCCTCAGCCTGCAGCCTCAGACGGAGAGCTTCGTTGGCTTTCTGCCTCCACGTCTCCAGCTCCTGCTCTGCCTGCTGCCTGGCTCTGTCGGCTTCTTCTTGTTTCTTCCTGAGACTTTGGGCCTCCTCCTGCAGCTGGAGGACTGTCCCCTGCTCCTTCCTGAGGGACTTCTCCAGCTCTGTGGCCTTCTGGGTGAACGAGGCGGTGCTGGTTTGCAGCTGGGTGGAGGCAGACTGCTGAACGATCTCCTCCACCTTCTGAACCTGCCTCAGCTTTTCCTCCTCCGCCTGCTTCATGCGCCGCTCCGCCTCCTCAGCTTGCAGCTTGAACTTCTGCAGCTCTTCCAGGGACTTCTTTTTGCTCTTGACAGCCTCCTTCTCAGCTTCAGATTTGCGTTTCAGCTCGTCTTCAGCGTTTTTCTTTTTCTGCGTCTCGTCGGCCACCTGCCTGCGGAGCCGCTCGGCCTCGTCCTGAGCCTCCTTCCTGAGCTTCTCGGCCTCGGCAGCCTTGTCTCTGAGCTGCTGGAGCTCTGTCTCGGCCGTGGCTTTCTGCTTCATCGTGGTCTCCAACTGGATTCGGATTATGCGGATCTCCTCCTCGATCCTGGTGCGGCTGAGCAGCGCCTCCTCCAGCTGCTGGTTCTTGGACTTGACTTCCTGCTCCGACAGGCTCCTCAGCTGCTGCAGCTCCTGCTGGATGTTCTGCTTCTGCTTCTCGGCGTCTGCCGCCACGCCCTGCCTCTTGTTGGCGTCATCCTTCATCTTCAGCTTCAGCTCCTGTGCCTCCTGCTCGGCCTTGGCCACGGCCTGAGCCTGGGATTCAGCCAGCTGCTTCTGCTTCTCCAGCTCAGCCTGGATCTCAGACAGCTTCTTCTTCTCCTCCTCCTTCAGCGTCTCTGAAGTTTTCTGTTGGCCAGAGCAAAGAAGGTTAGCGCCGTTTGATCACGGCAGAAACATGCAAACATGTTGTTTCCTTTCCCTTCACTGAAGCGGTCCCTCCACCTGTTTCCATGTTTGTGTGATGTATGACACACGCGACGACGTCACGCCACAGAACACGACGACCTTCTCGTCTCATGCGTTTAAGACGGATTTATCTAGTTTGTGCTGCTAGATAAAAAACTGTTTTGGGACTAAAACGATTTGTTAAATCTTTATTTTAACAACGCGCTACAGAGACTTGGTCACAATGAACTGTTTGATTTTTATCAACGTTGAACTTACATTTCTGAGGGTTCTGGTTGAGTTTCAGAAGTAAAACGTCTGATTTTTACCCCTAAAACACCCGGGTCACACGATGTGTTTAGCCCCATGGGCGGGACTCTTTGACTTGTTATTATTATTAGTTTTTATTAATAATGATGACTAAAATACAGCATTAATTGTCCGGTGTGTCGCTCCTCGTTTCTTCCAACTCATTTCAAAGCTAAATCCAGGATTTCTGCAGAAACGCTGATGGATGATTTGGGATTTGTCTCTTTTTGGTTTTTGCATTTTTAAGATTATCTGAAAATAAATTAGAACAAAAACAATAAAATAAAACAAGAACCAGGCGGGAAGTTTTCATGGCAGCAGGACTGAAGCCAGAGCTGATCTGATCTGAGGGGATTTCGTTGTCATGGTGATGCAGCAAACACAGAATGATGGGATGTAGAAAACAAAAGCAGCACAAACACAAACATCAACAGATGAAAACCAAACATTTAAAGAAGAAAAGAGCTTCGAACAACAAGGAAGGTCCAACTTTCAGAAAGCAGTCACTGATCTGGAGATCTCCTTCATTTCAGATCCAAATCAAACTCATTTCCTTCTTTTTCTGTTTAAATCGTTATTGATCATCTTTCCCGTAACTAATCACCTCTACGCCTCTCCCTTTATCTTTGTGATGCTGATATTTGACCTTAATGATGGATAATCTGATTACAAATGGGATCTGAGCAGGAAACCAATGGTTTATCCACAGAAACCTTTAGGCCCCGCCCCCTCCCTCTCTGCTGTGCTTAGGCCAGGCGTACACGGTGCCATTTTTGGCTCTTTTCAGGCCGAATTCCTTCTCATGCAAGAATCTTTGGGGTCAGGGCGAGTTTGGCGTCGTGTGGTAAACTGGGGCCAACGAGGAGGGACCAATCAGAAGCCGCACAAACATCAAACTCGGTTGTGAGGGTCTCATTCTGGCGAAGCAGCGCCGTGATCCAAAAGTACCAGAACCGCCCACACAGCACACTTCTTTTCTTCACTCGTTTCTCCGCACACAAAGACAAGGACTGTTGAGAAAGTGTGTTTTCTGTGTTTACATCAAATAAAACGAATCAAAAAGCTCGTCTTCCTCCTGAAGCCCCCATGGACATCTGCCTGTCCTTCTACGGCAAGCCCAAAGGACAAAAGTCCTCGAGAACCAAGTCGTTTGGCGTGAGAACGTGACTCGTGAGCTTTGCTCTGCAAAGAAGTCGTACAGTTTGAGATGGACCTGAATGCTACAAGTGAAAACGTCGCACAGTGTCCGCCCAGCTTTAGGCTCCGCCCACAGAGGAGGCTTTAGTTCTCCTGGTTCTATTGGAGCACAAACAGAACTGGAGGCAGAACTTTCCACCAGTTTCATTCTGGATGAAATTAGGAGAACGTCAGCTTTCTGCACATCCCCTAAAATCTCCATCAAACCATTAAAAACTGAAACCAGTTACCGTATTTCCCGGACTATAAGCCGCTACTTTTTCCCACGCTAGGAGCCATGCGGCTTATGTTGAGGTGCGCTCTATAGTCCGGAAATTACGGTAGTTCCAAAATAACAATAAAACACTTGAATTCCTTCAAAAAACGGTTATCTTTCTGCTTCAGACAAACATCTTAATAAGTTTAATTTTCATTTATTCTACAGATGAATTATTGAGGTTTTTACTAACGTGGGCCAGCTTTGGTAGAAAAGCATGAAAATAGCAATAAATTCTATTCTCACATGAATCTTAGAAACCAAAGCAGAAAAATGACAGATTTCTTCCGGTTTGGGAACCTTCCCTCCACCAGACAACACGGATGAAACCACCAAGAGGCTAAAGCGTTTAAATACCTTCGGCTTCTTGTAAATTCGTCTCTTAAGCGTGAGACTAAAAGTCGTCATGAGCAGTTTGAAAAAGATCAAAAATAAGAACAAGTTAGAGAAAATGAAGCAGAAGTGACTGAAAAAGAACAAAAAGAAGCAAATGATTCAAATGTGGCTGAATCCTGGGAAAGCGTGGAACCGGATCAGATCCGGTTTACGGATCAGGTCACGTGGTTTCGGAGGGATGAGAGTAGAGCCCTGCACTGAAGCCCTAGGCCCGCGGGCCAACGACTGTGTCATTACCTCGGACACGGGCCGGGCACCTTTATTTTTAATCAAATTCATAAAAAAGCTGAAACACCTGAACGCAGCAGCACCTGCCTGCTTCTCACGCACCGTTAGCTCAGTTAAGGTGTGTGTGGTTTATAAATGAATTCTCTAGCTGCTGATTGAAACGTGTGCCCCTGTTCTAATCCGCCGTTTTATGTCCACTCTGATGTCAGAAACATTCGTTTATTCTCATGAAAATGACAGCGTTCTATTTTTCTGTGAATAAATTTGCTCTGCAGTTAAAAGTTACAGCATTCATTGCTGGTTTGTTTCTAACTGAGAGCACATTTTCAGAGCGGCAGATTAAATTTACAAACGCATCCATTTAATATAGTGTTCATAAATTTAATATGCCGCTCGAACAAGACGCTCTGTTAGAAAAAAAGCTGCATTGATGCTGTTTTTCTGTCTTTTCTTTTTTTTACTGCAGAACGCTTCCCACAGATAATCAGAACGCTGAGCATTCTATCACGCCAAAACTTTATGAAAGGTTAAAGAAAAGTCGGGCTCGGGTCGGGCCAGAGAATCCTGAAAACCTTTTCGGACCGGGTCGGGCTGGGGCTCCACCCCCTCGGGCCGGGCCGGACACGGGCTCAGATTTTAGGCCCGTGCAGGGCTCTAGATGAGAGGCGCAACACCAGGATGAAACTGTTGCCCATAAAAACCAGATACCAGCGCCGATGTCTTAATGGTCTGTCAGACAATCCTTTAAATGTTGGGAAGGTCGGAGCGTTAACGTTTGGAATGTGTACTCACCTGATCATCCTCCAGGCGGCGCTGTGCGTCACTGATGAACTTGATGTACTGACAGCTGAGCGTCATCAGCTCGCTGTAGCGTGTTTTCAGCGTCACGTACTGGAAAGAACAACATCAGTTTACTTTTATTTGTTGATCTTTTAGTGAAATATTGAAACAAATGGTTTTGTTTACATGGTGTTTAGTAAAATAAATGTAAACAGTTTCCAAAATCTGCAGCTTTGATCTTACTTTAGGAAAAAAAACAGTCTTTAGTCTCCTTTATGCTTTGTTATCTTTTTAAATTAAATTCCTGAAACTGGTTCAGTCACTGGTTTTGCTACCAAACCGACACCCCCAGGGGTCCCCGTTGGGTCTCGGCCCCCTCTTTGAGGATCCCTGGAGACGCCCTGCTTCGCTGATTTTTAATAATCAGACAGAAACTTTCTGTTTCACTAACATGGACCCTTTTATCTGCTGGATGTCATGAAGCTCCTTTTGGCTCAGAGAGCCTCAAAATGCTTTGATGCATAGCCGTTTCCATGGAAACCAGATAGATGACTGTATGAATGGACATCTGCTTGAAGATGATGCAGCAACAGTCAAGTCGACGTGAATATGTGTGAATTTATCCACTGGGATTGATACAGTTCATTCATTCATTCATTCATTCATTCATTCATTGCTGCTGAAAGCGATTATTGACCCTGTTCTCATGACAGGTTGGATTCAGATAAACTTCCCTGCTGACTGATTACTGCTTGACATTTTTCAGGAGGAGCTCGCACCTCCTGGATGATGTGGTCTGATGTGACCTCCACCCTGGGCTTCTTCAGAGGAGAGGCTGTGGGATCCTGCAGGGCTCTGTAGGTGAGGATCAGGAGCTCGTAGTCCTTCAGAACGATAAAGCATAGAAACACAAATGAAACCCACGAGTGGGCGGAGATTCTCTCGTGAAGCTGCGGCGGTTCGTTCTTACCTTCACAGAATCGATACAAGCTTTTGCATTTTTCTGACAGATTTCCACTTCATCCTTGTTTTTCTCGATCTCCTCCAGAAGTTTCTGGAACAACCATCAGAACTCCTCACTCACATGGTTAACGTTCCTGATTACTTTATCCTAAAACCTCCTGACGTCAGAGGAGTACCTTCTCCTGCTCCAGCTGCTCCCTGAGAGCCTTCCCGTCTCCGATGGGAATGGACTGGATCTTCTCCTGTCTCTGGCGGACCTCTGCAAGCCACCGGATGAGATGCTCATAGTTTTCCCGGTACGTCTTCATCCTCCTCCCGAGGAGGTCGAGCTCGCGCAGCCGCAGGTCGATCTGGGCGAAGACGGCCTGCCATCGTTCCAGGAGGCTGCTGACCAGCTGACGGTGGTGGTCCAGCTCAGTGTCGCGCTCGCTGTGGATCCTCGTCATCTTCTCGCTGATGGCCGTCGCCCTCCGGAGCTCGTCCTGCAGACGGTCAAAGGTCGCCTGGTCGGCCTCTGCCTCAGCCCGCATCGACTGATTCAGAGAGAAGATGTAGATCACGCATCAGCTGGTTACCATGGAGATGAGTCAAGTTCCAAGAAAACACACATTTGTGTTTTTATGTATGAGCGAGATGGGAGTCGGAAAACCGAACACACACCGGGATTTTCAGGAGAATTCCAGAAAAACGTGTTTCTATTTTCATCACAAATCACGAAAAAGTTTTTTATTTAGTCCGACTCCAACGGGAACTAAAACGCCTCGTTTTCCTAACAGGACCGAGACGCTCGACTGTTTTGGGATTATTTCAGGCTGGAATTAGGGTTAGGATTAGGATTACATATTACAGTAACCTCACTAACGAGAGGATTTCAAAATAAAAGCCTGTTTCAGCAGATGTGGTTTTTAATCCAAGCCAAAGAATCCACGTTTTACCTTCAGCTGACTTCTCTGAAGCTCCGCCTCCTTCTCATCAGCAGGAACTTTACTGACGTCACGCAGACGAGACTCGTAATCCTTCAGCAAGTCCTCAGCTTCTTTGGTGTTTCTGATCACCACCTCGATGGTCTTCAGCCTGAGAAGTTTGGAGACACGTCAGGAGGACCCGGCCCTGAAGCTTCCTGTAACTGACGTGTGAGCCGCTTACTTGTCCAGATAGACGGATGAGAGTCCGTACACATGTTCCATCTTCTTCAGAGTCAGGTCCAGCTCGGATCGAAGCATTGGGGCAGAACCGGACTGCTGAGGGGACGCCAGAACCTCCTCCGTCTCCCTAGCAATGGAGCTCAGGTCCTTCTTCAAGCCCTCGAGCTCAGACTGCACTTTCTGTTAATAACACAGCATTAGCAGAGCTTTCCCACCCGCATCTGTTCTGCTGGTTCTGATCCGGTTACCATTTGTTCTGTGGTCTTCAGGGCGCAGACCTTCAGCGGTTCCTTGTCCGCCGGCTGGTGGAGACGGGTCACCGTTCGGTTCTCGCAGCCCTCCAGCCTCAAGCGGAGGTCTTTGATCTTCGTCAGGAACGTTTTACACACGGACTCGTCCTGGTCACCTGATCAGAGCCAAACGTCAGAGAGCAGAACCACTGAGGTCCAGTTCTACAGAACTGGGTCGGGTTGAAAAGTGGGTTTCAAACTATTTCATTTTTTTTATTCAAACCAGCAAAAAAGTTTCAGCTTAAAAACAATTAAAATGTTTTAAACCGAACGATAATAATAATAAAAATAAATAAAATAATAATAATAATACTTATAATAATGAAATAATTAAAATAATAATAATAATAATAACAATAACTATGAAATACTACTAATACTAATAATAATAATTATTATTATTGTTATTAAATAATAATATTAATAATAATCATTATAATAATAATAATAATAATAATAATAAAATAATAATCACAATAATAATAAAATAATAACAATAATAATAATAATGAAATATAATAATAATAATAATAACAGCGAAATACTACTACTACTAATAATTATTATTATTATGAAATAATATTGTTAATAATAATCATAACAATTATGATAATAATAACAATGAAATTAAACTACTACTACTGCAAATAATAATGAAATATAATAATAATAATAATAATAATAATAATAATAATAATTGCTCTGTTATCACTAAAGGTAATAAAACATTGTTAAAATGTCTATTCATTGTCAGTTCAATGAGTTCTGTATGTTACAGCACCACCTGGTGGTTACTCTAAGTAATGCACCATAGAAACTGTTTATTTTGAACAAACTTTATTGGACGGAAGTTGAACTCAAAGACAAGGAACGGTGAACGGTGAACGGTGAACGGTGACCGGTGAACGGTGAACGTTCATGGTGTCTCTTTGGAGATAATCTACTTCTGTTTATGGTCGCATCGCCGGTATGATGTAAGTTTAGACGTTTGTAGCTTTGCCTTTGGGAACAATGTTCTCTGCTGACGCATTATTAGACAGTAAAATCACTCTTTTTGTTTTGCTAATTACCCGCCATGTGTGGACCCATTTAGAACAGTAGTAATGTGTTATAAACGTATATTATACGGCACTTATGCAAATTATAATTGTATTGTTTGTCTTGTTTTTTTGTTTATAATAATGAAATAATAATAATAATGACATTAATAATAATAATGATGAAGTAATAGTAATAATAATAATAATAATAATAATATTAATAATAATAATAAAATAATAATAATAAAAATAACAATAATAATGACAAATTAATAATTATAATAATGAAATATTAATAATTATAATAATGAAATAATAATCTAATAATGACATCATAATAATAACAATAATAATTATAATAATTGTGAAATAATAATAATAATATAACAATAACAATAATAATAACAATAACAATATTAACAATAATAATGATGAAATAATAATAATCATCATCATCATCATCATAATAATGAAATAATAATAATAATAAAATAATAATAATAACAATAATAATAATAATGACATATTGATCATTATAATAATGAAATAATAATACTAATGATGACATAATCATAATAACAATAATAATTATAATAATTATGAAATAATAATGATAATAATATAACAATAACAATAATAATAACAATAATAATAATAATAATAATAATAATATCAATAATAATATAATAATAATGAAATAATGATAATAATAATAATCATAATAATAATAATAATAATATTATTATTATTATTATTATTATTATGATTATTATTATGCTTGAACCTACTCTGTGTATCTCCCCCTGGTAACTAGACTCCTGTTAGGGTTAACTGGTTAGTTAGTGCTCGTGTTGATAGGTGGATTAAAACAGGAATCAGCTGATGTGAAAGATGCAGTGGGACGAGACTAATATGTGATGTTAGGCTGATTAATTTAATCTCTGGGGATTATTAACACAATCAATTGGATGCAACAATCAGAGCCGGCCAATCAGAAGCTCCGTACCTGATCCGGGCGGCTCGGAGCCTGAAACATGAACCCAACAGTCAGAGAAGCTCTGGTCTGGAGGACAGGAGCAAAACTACGTTCCTGATGACCAAACCCACCTTGTTCTGCAGAGCTGACCATCATCTGGTAGTGCTGGTTGGCCCGGTTGTAGCTGGACTCCACCTGCATCCGGTCCTCGGCACCAAACATCTGGGAATCCTGGCTGTCCCTCAGGAAGTTCTGGTAGTGCTGTTCCAGGTTCCTGAGGGCCAGCCGGTACTCCTCCACCCTCAGAGTCTTAAACTGGAAACATTAAAAGACCAGTTCAGGAAAACGCCCCAAACCAGTTCAAACAACAGGAGGATGAAAATAATCTGTTGTTAATCCCGCCAGGAGCCAGGGTTAGGATTAGCGCCCCCTTCAGGAGCCGCTATGCGTCACCAGGGTTTACGTCGATTCTCATACATTTAGTTTAGGGTTTAAATCTCATCAATTCTGAAGTTTTATTTCAGTTTTAGGTTAAAAGAAACTTTCAGAAATAAATTCTTAAATTTACCAGAAAAAAACACGTTTTAAATCATAAATTCGTGTGTTTTATTTTTATTTTTTTAAATAAAAACAGCGAAATCTAAATATTCTCCCGGTAAATTCATGATGGAATTTCAGATTTTTGGATTCTCTCTAGATTTCTGCTTTAAATCCCAGAATTTAACCTTTTTATTTTGCAAATCAGAACCTTTCCAGATTCATCCCTGTAAATAATAAACAAACAAACAAACACATTTAAAAGTCTCAGAGCTTCTGAGACGTTGCTGAGCTGTGGGAGGAGGGTGGTTACCATGGTGACGTTCCAGGAGCTGATGATGTGGACGTCTCTCATCAGGTACTGCCAGGACAGCAGACTCCTCAGGTCCACAAACATGGTCTGCCACACGCTCTGCAGCCTCTGCAGGTTCCCGTCCAGCCTGAGGACGAGCAGCGGGTGAGTCTACACCAACAACCTTCTCCTCCCACAAGCCCACACCACGTCCCGAGTTTTACTCCAAAGGGCTGATCCCATGTTTTTCCAGGATTCATCCTGGATCAAAAGGCAGCGGGAATCTGACCGACCCGAACTCCGGTTTTCGCTTCAGGTCAGAGACCTTCTGCGTTTGGACTCACCCGGCGACGCCGTTCACAGCGTCCTTATTGGTGGGCGGGACCAGGAAGCAGATGGACGGGACCAAGGCCTCGCTGCCTTTGTCGTTCAGAACCCTCCACTTAAAGGGCTGGGAGTTGTTCAGCAGCGCGCACTCGTCTCCCCGGTGGACGGTGATCTGGGGGGGCACCGTCAGGTCAACATGTGGGTCAGTACGCCTCACACCTGGGGGGGGGGGGTGTCTCTGGGCTCACCTCCATCTGTTTGAAGTCACACACGGCCTGGATGGGAAGTTTCCCCTTGATGGGACTGGCGGGATTCCGAGGTTTCAGCTGGATGACGGTTTTGGATCGCCGCTTCAGGCCCTCCAGGTGGGTCTGAAACTCAGCCAGCTGTTCCTTCTCCTCCTGTCACACACACACACACACACACACACACACACACACACACACACACACACACACACACACGCACACACGCACACACACACGCACGCACACACACACACACACACACACACACGCACACACACACACACACACGCACACACACACACACACACGCACACACACACACACACACGCACACACACACACACACACGCACACACACGCACGCACACACGCACACACACACACACACACACGCACACACACACACACACACACACGCACACACACACGCACACACACGCAGGCACACACGCACACACACACACACACACACGCACGCACGCACACACACACACACACACGCACGCACGCACACACACACACACACACGCACACACACACACACACACACACACGCACGCACGCACACGCACGCACGCACACACGCACACACACATGCACGCACGCACGCACGCACGCACACACACACACACACACACACGCACACACTTTCTTGTTAGACTCTGATCCGGAGCCTCCTCCAGACCCAGGTCCCTTTACGGATAATCTGGGATTAGGAACCGGGATGAACTCACGGCGGCGTCCTGCAGCAGATCCTCCAGCCGGGTCACCGTGACCGAGCGCTCACACGTGTACTTCCTCTTCATCGTCTCCTGCATCTTCTTCATCTTCTCCTCGGCTTCCTTCACATCAGCAAAAAACTGCAGAAGGAGCAGGGACAGGAATGACTGGGATCCGACCTCTGACCTCTGACCTCTGGAGCGGGGCGGTTACACACCTGGAAGTAGGCCGTGTTTTCCTTCAGGTGGGTTTCGATGCAGCAGCAGAGCTGAAGCATCCAGCTCCACTGGGTCTGCAGGGCGGCTGTGAAGGCCTGAGGAGGCAGATCCACAGATCAGGACCAGGTCCAGGACCAGGTCCAGGTCCAGGTCCAGGACCAGGTCCAGGTCCAGGACCAGGAGGTTCTGATCCTAGATCCCAGACGGAGCGGCTCTCACCTCGATGGTCTGCCTGGCGGGGTGCCCGTCCCTCAGGAGCTTGTCTCCGGTGGCCTGAACGCCGTTCACCTTCTTCTCTCTGAGCTCCAACTCCCTCATCAGGCCCTGCGGAGCAGAAGCACCAGAATCAGAACACGAACGTCTGACCGGGCCCGAGTTCTGCAGAACATCAAACTTGCCGAGTAGCTCTCCTTCTTGGACACCATGTTGGTGTTGCGCTCGCTCCAGTCGAAGGTGACCTCCTCCTCCTCCTTCTCGTTCAGCCACATCAGCTCTTTGGTGGCGGCGCTGACGAAGGTGTGCAGCTCCACCAGGTAGCGCAGGCGGGCCTTCGAGGAGTTCTGCAGACACACCAAAACCGACAGCTCTCATGGTGGTTCTGACCGTCCCGGTTCAGCATCTGTGTGCTCTGAAGCTCACCAGCAGCTTTCCGTACTGCAGCTCCAGTTTTCCCAGATAGTCCCGGTAGGCGGCTTTACTGGCCGGAGACACCTGACTCTGGGTCAGGAGGTCGGAGTTAGAGGGCCACGCTCTGATTGGTGTCAGAATTGTGTTTTATCGGCTTTCCGTACCTCATCAGCTTTCGCCCTTTCGATCTTGGAGCGGAACTCCTCCACGGACTGGTGCAGGCCCCGGTGGCTGCCCAGCTGGGTCTCCACGTTGGCCAGGTCGGAGCCCCACTCGCCCTCGTCCACCCGCCGCTGGTTCTCCTCCACCCAGCCCAGCAGGTCGTGGACGTAGCGCAGCGTGACCTCGTCCAGCTCGGGCCGAACCCTGGACGGGGACGACTGCTGCAGGACCTGAGCCACGTGGACCTGGCTCATGGGGATCTGGGCGGTGGGGACCTGGGTCAGGGTCACTCCGGACTTGACGCGCAGGTTGTACTCGCTGCGGAGGTTCACGAGCCTCTCGTGGAGGCGATAGACTCTGGAAACCAGAAACGAGACGTTCAGGAGGAACTCTGCAGCTGCTCAGAAACACCTGGATACGCACCTGCGATACATCTGCTCAGCCTGAAGGTGGCGCCCGTCCTTCAGCACCTGGACGTCGTTGAAGAGGAACCGGATCATTCCTTCTGCTTTCTCCAGGTCGGCCTCCACCTCGGCTGTGTGC